ACCCGGTTACACTCGACAGGGGACCGTTTCCTGTTTACGAGCCCGATGGACACGGATTTAACGCGACTAGCAGCTTCATCCCTGAAGAAAAAAAACACAGAGCCGAAATTCACGCGCGCGTTAAGCCACAGGCCCGCTTCGTTATTCGTCTGAAAGAAAGGAACACGGTTTTTCTGATCGCAATGCTGGGTAAAGTTCGTTCACACATTCAAATCATTTTGAGCACAATTGATTTGTGTATTCACATGTACACAAGCAAATCGTTAAGTCTAAAAGTTGAGAAAATTAATATTGTGGGAAAAATTTAATTTATTAATTTTCAGCAATGTTTTTCATTTTAAGAAAATATACAGTACACTGCTGAATCAAACACCACTAGCCACAAAATGTGACGACAATGCAAAAAATTAAAATAACTCTGCAAGGTAGACTGAACGTGTAATGTACAAGTGAGTTTGCGCTCATTATCTGAATCTGTAAATGGACCTTTACAGAATAAAATCTTTTACAATGGATTGGTATAAAAGTATCCACGGACATAGGAATATTTGATTAATTGAATATCATCGATAACAGTTTGAAGAAAAAAAAACGGACCTTACGGTAAACAAATATCTTAGAGAAACGGTATTCAGAGTAATTGTCCGCTCGTACGAGGGAGAAATACATAAATAGAAGGCAACGGTTGGAATGATCGACCGCATTTGGAAGAAACCATAAAAATACCCGTGAAGCGTGCGGGAGCCGACGGGGGTCCAGACGGATCGTAGCCACCCTCGCAAACTGCTGCCTTTTTCCTTCCCCATCCACGAAGCAATCCCACCCCTTGCCAAATCAGAAATCTGCCGCTTCCATCTCGTTCCGGCAGCGATGGCTGATGGTCGATCCGAGCCATCGTGGAAAAAGGAACGCGCACTACCGGACAACATTATGTGCTTTTCCTCCTGTATCGATCGATCATTCCGGACTACGAAACGCAACAAAAACGGATGCCCAACAATAATGGCGGATAGCAAATGCGAGAACAAATACAGAGGAAACATAATTGAGATGCTGAGGCATGTTACGATTTACGAAAATCCTAAATCATGAAAACGAAAAGGTTTGGTACAATTGTTAATGACACTAATGTTGGCGTTAACAGAAAAACAAATACAGTAAAACTTTTTGAGTAGTGATCGAAAAACAAAGAATAAACAGAAAGATTATTTCACAGATCGAGATGATAGTAATGCAATAAACTTAATAAACGAAAGGAATAAAGGTTGTCAGAGGACGCAAGATGTAAGATTTGCCAAAGCAAACGGATGGATCGGAGTGTAAATGTCGTTCAGGAAGTGAAAATAAAAACTGAATGACATCGCTTGTCAATACGTAAGTAAACAATATATTTATCATTATCGTTATTACTAAGGCACTTGTTACCGATATAAAAATGTACGTCACAAATTATTGCCAATGAGCATATTTAAATACTGATATTAACCAACTAATTGCTTCTCGTAGTTATAATCTCAGATATTATGGATGCGTCACCTAAGGGGAGTCCGACAACATTTTCTTTATTACTTTGTTTCTGTAATCGACTGATTATTTAACAAACGCTTTCGCACTTCGCAAAAGAATTGTTCCCCGCGTTAATTAGAAGGCACTTTGCAAGAGGTTCTCTTACCACCTCACGATGCTCCCCCCGTCCCTGAACGTAAAAACTAAATTGAGTTTAGACTAAAAGCAAGATACGGTGTATGGTAATATTAATATTATCGTTAACTAGCAATTAAAATAATACATTAAATGTATTTGACCTGACATGCCTGGAAGCTATCGCATCGTACGCGACCTGAACAATTAATTCGCAAGTGCACCCGATGATCTCGTGATCCTCGTTAAACGACGGTAACTCTCGTGGATCGCGTTCGAAGATCCATCACGGTTTTTTTGTTGTTGTTGTACAGTTGATACTCTGATCTCGAACACGACGAACAAAAAACATTGTAGACACTGGTGTATATGATAAAGAAATAAAAAATTTTGTGCCCCTCGACATAATTAACCACATAAAATTTTTTCGCTCGAACTTGAACACTCGTACGCGTCTTAAAAAAACAGCTTAATATTTAACGCCGAACATTTCAATTTCACGTGCCACGAGCGTCTCGTCGTCTGCACTTATTTATTATTCCGATAACTCTTCGCGTTTTATATCATTACAATACTATTTAATACTATAGAAATGTTTCGTGCACGGTAAATTGTTCAAGAAAAATAGCGACGCTTGTAGCACGAGGAACAATGTTCACGTTATTAACATTTTGCTTGTACGCGACGTATCACGACAATGTTGTAAAACGCTCGCGGCTTACGTTAACTTACGGTTCATCGTTGGTAAAATATATAACAAGTCAGGTCTACCGTGTTTCGTGTTGGCACATGTAACTATACAGCGATCGCTTTCCAAGTCTCAGTCGAATAATACAGATAGTAACACAAAATATCGAATGAATATTACATGATCGTGTTATTATTTCATTAAAAAGTAAAAAGAAAGAGGTCGAATGTTTGGTACCCGCACGGCTAACGTTCCAACAGAAAAGGCTCGAACCAAGCGTGCGAATAACTTATTATACGAGAGTCTGACTTGCGTCTCCGGAGCTTTTCCTTGCTGCGGGAAAAAACGGGAGAGCTTTTCTCAGCGGTTCAACGATTATATACCCTTTTTTTCTTTGTATTAATCAACGAAATTACATAATTCTCGATAAACGGCCTCGGTGGGCAGACGTAACTACGACGATTCAATAACAATCAAAATTTGACGATCAACAAATAAACTTCAACAAGATAATGGCTTTGATCGTTCAGAAAAATAAAATCGTTTCTCCCTTTTTCGTTTCTCTGGATAAAAAATGAAATTTGAAAGCGTGGAACAGATCAGTCGGATAAAATTCATGATTGCGCGATTGTTATCACTGGTACCACTTATCAATCGTTATCGCCGCCTTTTTTTTTTCAGACCAACGAAAGAAGTTACGTCAACCTCCGTTTCTTTTTTGTTATTTTACGACGTATGTATACACTTAAGCTGCCATGTAACTAAAAAATATATATGCGTACGCACGTTGTCTCTGTTTTTACCGAGTCGATTTGATTGTTCGGTAATTAAACCATTACACTATATACGTTGTTTCACGCGAAACAGACAAGTACAAGATTAACGGCCTCTTTTTTCCTTTTCGTACGTTCCCGTCCCCCAAAAGGTGGAGCAAACGAACAACGCGAGAGAAAAAAAAACCCTTAAGGCTAAAGGTATTTAAAGATAATCTATAAATATCATATACTCTCCTTTTGTAATCTCCATTATATAACTGTATGTAGTATAAAACTTATGAGAATTTTACAATCTAACAGTGTTTTCAAAATACCAATATAACTGCAATTCGTAACAAGTATAGACTTTATATATAAAAAAAATATATATATTCATTTTGTGTTCCCCTCTTCGAAGTATTTAAAAGGGTCTAAAAAACGTGTTTGCCTATTTTAACAATTACCACATGTTCACATAAACATCTCGTATGGACGGTTATTGCTTTGAAAGAATGACGATAATTACATATAATAAATATCGTCGTTATAAATCGATTGCAAAGAAAAGGCACTTCGTTTAAGCATATATCGCTTGTAAAATAGTCTGAGCATTATTGACACTCGATTGCAGTGTATATGTATATGTATATGTATATGCATATATATACATATATATGTATATACTTTGGACACGCGATTCGAAGAAATCTGTTTCGAATCTGAATCATACACGTAACACGATTTGCTCCGTATGCCAACTTCAAAATATAGACAAGTGTCCGTGCGTTAAAAATGCTTCGATACTTTTAGACATTGCTCCTCGCCGTTGTTTTCGTAAACATCATATAAAGATCACTGCTATATGAATCGATGAATATCAAATAAAATATCGTTTATCGAACATCATACCATCTTCCTACTCTCTTTCTCAACGCGGATCATTTCTTCGTAAATAATTGCACTTATTTTGCGTTTCGTTTCACGATCGAAATCCCGTGAACACATCAGGTATGGTGTTTTCTCTTTTTCCTTTTTAAAATTTAAATCACACGCGAGATCTATGATCGTTATAATCTGATATGTCATGATATCAGATTTCCATTTGTAAACCAACGTGATATAAATATAATTAACCAACAATTTACTTGTCTACTCGTAACTATCGGGAAGTATATCGAGCTTTCCTCGCTCACCGCGCTTCCCTCCTTTATCAATGACCGAGCGCTCGCGCATATTTTAAATATTATTATCAAAATATTCAGTCCTCTCTCTGTCTCCCCCTCGCGTACATTGCTTCAATATAGAAATACAAACTTATATACAAAATGTTCGGGGAGAAATGCACTCGTACACACATACAAACATACAAACATACAAACATACTCTAACAGTAAGAGAGAAAGAGAAAGACCCGAATACGATTCTTTACATATACACGATGTCCCAAAAACCTCGAAGTTCTATAGAAAAAAGAAAATCACACCCCTTTATTCGATTCCAAGAGCATCCATTATTCTACGTAACGAGAGGTAGAAATGGTAACAAAACTGTAGAGTTTCAAACGAAGCCTCAGCGGTAATTGCGGCCTGCTCAAAATTCTTAACGACCTCCTCCAGGAAGACTCAACAAGCTTGCCATGAACACTAGATTTCAAGGCTTCGAACTTTACCATTTATACCAGGTTTGGAACCCAATAAGAAGCACGATTCAACGAGTCAGCGTCAATATTTCTGGGACACCCTGTGAATGTTTCTGTATACACGTCTCTGTATACATGTACAAGTTGAGCACAGCACGTTGTAATTAAGGCTCCTTTCTACTTAAACATTTAAAACTTTTTCCCCCGTTCACGTGCGTTTTTCTTTTAACCGTTTCTTTTTTTTTTTTTTTTTTTTTTTTTTTTGTTTCTATTGTATGGAATAGTCGTTACTTTACTGGTGTGATCCTCTAGAATCCTTCCATTCAGTTTAGACGTATTGAAATTGCAATTTTTTGTTTCGAGTCGATTTCATAAGTTGCTTGCCTGTCATAGACAATTCTCATCACCGCACACTACAGCCACGTCAGCACGTTTTCAGGTTTCGTCGTATTGGGATTTATGAGCGATTGCACGTCGTCCAGAATATCGCTACTGAAGTCTTCGCTCAACTGCAAAGAGAATTGAAGGTGTGACATACAACGTTACATTCGCGACCGTCCCGCGAGTGTTTTCTGTGTGTACAGTTATTTGATGTTAATAAGCACCTGTAACGATGGGACGAGATCATCGGTCGAGTCGATGTTATCGCTCAGAGTAGAAAGGTCTGGTGTCTCCATGGGTGCGCCTCCATCTACAAGAGAAAAAAGAAACAAGTGTGTCTTTTAGTATTAGTACCGTTACGAAACGAGTCTGAAACTGATGGAAAAACAACCGTTGTCTTTCGATCAGTGCTTTCTTTACGATATATTTCTACACCTGCGAGGATATCTCACCGCTTGTACCATCCATGTTGTCGTCAATGTTCGCGAGGAAGTCTTCCGGCGTGTGAGGAAGGGAGTAAGCAGAACCAAGACCCAGTCCACTGTCCGCGCTTTCTTGGCGCGCGTGTTGCTCGTTGATCCCCGATAAGAACGGATCCATGGCAGCATCGGTGGTGCTCTGTCGAAGCATCAACTCTTGCTGTCGGAAACGAAACGATCTCTCATTAATCGTGACCATCGAAACCACGAAAGATTAGGGGACAAAACACCAAATCTACAGACCTGGCGCATGATTTCCTGTTGCCGTTGCTTGAGACGTTCCCGTTCCATTTGTAGCGATTGGAGACGAAGCTTCTGTTGACACGCCTGCAACGTTTGATTGCTCTGAATACCACCACCTGTGGGTTGCTGTAGCCAGTTCTGCGGCAGCATGGCGCCTGATGTTGGGGCCCTTTGAAGATGTGTAGCTGAAAGAATCATATCACCCGTGAATACAGATTTATAAAACCCAAAACAGAAGACTCCCAATCGGGCATAGTCAACGATTCCAAAGCAACGTGTGAAACTTACGTATTCTCGGGTCGAACCACGAGGTGGTGCGCGTCTGATGATTAATGAAGTAGATCTCTCCTTCGGGGGTACGGGCCTGTTCCCATCCGTCCGGCAACGGGCCCAGGGAATTGGTGGCGGCGCTGGTTGTTTTTCCATTGTCGACGGCAGCGGCTACGGCCGCCACGTTCGCGGCGGCCGCTGTTTTTCGCGGATCCTCCCATGTCGTGGTCCGCGTCAGGTGGCTGGAAAATAAAATTATAACACGGCTCAGACGTGTGCGTACATGCGTGCGCGCGCTATTTTGTGCGTATATACGTGCGGCCCCCGTACAGAAACTGAATACGCCACGGGCGCGTACAGTTATCCACATATAGTAGGCGCATTCTAAAAATAGTTCCATTCAAAAGACGATGCGAAGGAGTAACAGCGGGCGCCTAGCGGTGTAATCGTCGTCGTCGTCGTCGTCTTCGTCGTCTTCGTCGTCGTCGTCGACGGCGGCCACGTACGTTTTCAGAGCCACCAGACCGTCCGAATAAAACGCGTATATTTCACCGATTTCCCGTGGGCCGAGGATCAGTACAGAGAATTTTCTAGGCCCCGCAACTGGATGTGTTCCACGACGTGTCGGGACAACTCCACGATTGAGAAATTTTCCCGCGAATAATTCCATCCGCGCCTACTCGTTTCTTCGGGGAAACGATATTTCTCGGTCTTATTTATTTGTTCGTCGGATTTGTTTCGAAACGTCGCGAGAAATAAAGATCCACGGGACGCGGGAGGCCCGAAGAGGTCGTCTTGTATTTTAAAAGCTCTTCGAAGAAACAAATTGCGGGCGACGTTATATCATACGTGTGGGATATATGCGGGGAATAGCGATAATTACTAGAAGCTTTACTCAATTCCACCGCAGAATACGTAGAAAATATAGTTTGGTAATTCTCAGGTATTCGAGGTACCATCGTGATTCATCGCCGATCGCTAGCTTCGATCGTCGTTGCGGCTGCGAGGAGATCCCCCGGCGTTAATTAAATCCCCCAAAGCAAACGTGTCCCGCGCGCGGCGGCGGCCCGAAGATGAAGTCGTTTCGAATCCGAAACGGCTTTAGTTGCACGAAAACACTACGTTTCTCGGTCTCGACAAAAATAGCGGCTAATGGCTGGTGATTGCCGATCCCCCCGGTCGTCTTACTTCGTTCGTTCGTTCTCTCTCGTTGTCGCGGGTTCGTCGGTGCCCGTGTGCGCCCGTGTGTCTTCCCCTCTGTCCCTATATAACGTATTTACCTTACTCGCGTGTCATTTTTCAGGTCGGGAGGAAGTGGAAAACACTACACCCGACCGAGCGTGCAACGACCGGCTCTCTCTCTCTCTCTTTCTCCACGTCGCCTCTTATTTACCTTCGTTGAAACGAATACCTTTGCGAACCGGCTACCTTGCCTGACTCCAAAGAAATTTTAGACACCCCGTGAAACATACGGCGCATAACGCGACAACGATCGCAAATTTTCCGACTGGACGAGATCGACCAGATGCCACTGACGACGAATCGTTGCATCCAGTTTTTCTTTCTTTTAATTTTTTTTTTAATGACTTTCCAGTTTCAGGGGTTTCATATCGTGATTCAACGATCTTAACGAAGCGGATTTCGCGGGTGATCATCTCGAGACAAGGGAATCGAACGAATCTCTTCCGTGTATGTACGGCGTATTTACAATCTCTTCCGTATCGAGCGTAACGAAACAGCCTTTGTACACGTTCAGGGATACGCAATGGAAACTGTAATCGTACGGAAAGTATTCCGAAAGAAAATCGTTTTCAACGAAGCTCGAAATGATTTGCCACGGTGTTACGCGTTTCGCCGAAACTCTGTCGCTCGTTTGTATTCCGTGCACGGATGACTTAATACGCGTCTCATTTAAGTCATCGACGAGGACGCAAACAACTTCTCTAAATCGCTGCGTATCGTGACGCGGACTCCGTTCACGGTGTGTTCCCGTACGTGACACAAATCTTCTTACCCCTGGTTAATAATACCAACGGAACAGAACCGTTTGACGTAGTTTTAACATTAAGAGCATTATCCGATCGGACTGTGCTAAGCCCCGCGAGCGTTTTCCAAGATCCGCGAGCGACGATTCGAACAACGGGCACGTATTGCCTTTCGTCGATCGCCAGGATAACGGGTGTGTTTACGTTCGCTTATCGATCACCGGCATGATTTTCGAGCTTGGTCCCAACAGGTTTCGGTGCGCGTCCTGTTGACCACAAGCCTAGCTTACGAAACCCTTTGTGCTAGATCCCTTTCAAAGTTTCGATCAAAGCGTTACTTCCTTTTCCCTACGTAACAAACGATTCTTTATTACCTAAATATTCGCCTACGAAACTGAGGCAATCACAAACAATCTTTTTTTCTGTGGTTCAAAGATCCTGGTAACATTAATCGCAAGCGAGTAGATGGCTCGTGTGTTGCTACGAACCCAGCTTCTCCACTTCTGCGTGTACACACGAGCTGCTGGGAAATCCTCGCGCGTGGAGAGAGAGAGAGGCATGGATATCTGGGTGGAAGGAAATTGAAAATCTATCCCAAGGGGATGCGTGAGATCGGTGGGCATAGCAGAATACAGAACGGGCGGTGTGTTCCAAAAGCTACATGTCGCGAGTCTCTCCGGGAGCGGTTGGATGCGTTCCAAGAGAGTCGAGTCGAGGCGGAGAGAACTACTACGAGAGACGGTAGGCAGAGAGAGGCAAGGGTAGAAGGAAAAGAAACGAGGAAAAGAGGGAGAGGTAAGCAAGCAGGCAGGCAGGCAGGCAGGCAGGCTAGCAGGCAAGCAGGCGAACAGAAGAGGCAACCAGGCAGCCAAGCAGGCAGCTCGAGAGCATTGGAGAATTACAAGAGGGTTTCTGTGTGGCGCACGGCATACGGACTACGATGTATTTTTACTCCGGACATCACGGCGCCGGACAACTCGTAAATAGACACTCTCGCACCGACGCTCTCTTTCGCCTGCCTACTCTTCTCTCCCGGCGTCGTGGTCGTCTTCGTCTTCTTCGTCGTCGTCTTCGTCGTCGTGGTTGTCGTGGTCGTCGATTCGCCTCCCTCTGGCACCCTTCTCTCCCTCGAAAACCTATCTACTTCGAGAGACCGAGACGACAAGCGGGCGCGTCGCCCTCCGACTTCTATCGCCGAAACGCACGAGTACCGTTAACACGATCTTTTAATGGCCTACGATCAACGCCGCTAAACGCCACGAGCCACGGATCCCCGGACGCTCGATCCTAGACACCGTGAGCGGGAACCTTCTTCTGTTCCGTCGAGATTTCTACGGTTCGAAGGCCAAAGAACGTCTGATATATGGCCGATTAGCTACGATTCCCGTCGTGGTTTTCGATATGTAATTCTTCCCTATTTCCCAATTTTTATCCTTGACAATCCATGAGAATTGGTCTCCCATTGTCCTCGATCCAAAACGGAGTCACGAACCAGCAGGTATATCGATCGGAAATATTTACTTGGAAATACGCGGGAGTCGAGATGAAGTTCGCCCCCGCCACGAGAATATCGACATCAAAGATGCGACATGGATGATATTTATGGAACTCCTCGGAACCGCCTAAACGCCAGGCAAAATTCAAAGTTAAACGCGACTTGGCGCCACCGAGCCAATTCCTACCCGGAAATCCGTTTCTTTTTTATATCTGTACGAGATCTATGAGTAACGTCGGCGAAGGTCGAAGCGAAAAACGACGGATCCGTTGGGCGATCGAGAAAATTCAGTTCGGTAGGTAAGAAAACGATTGCATCCCTTCGAAAACCCTTCGATCGAGTCAGATCGTGGAACGAACTCTCCGGTCAGTATCTGAACGTCGTTGATCCGCTAATCGTAAAGTCGAAGGCGAGGCGAGTCGAGGACACACACGGCTGCCTTGAACTTTCGATACATTCGTGGTATTCCCGGAGATTTGTCCTCCTATCTGGCATTCTGACGCGTTCGTCGCCAAAGACTGCCTACTCGTCCCGCGTACAGGTGTGTCGGGGTCTTTAGCCTCCGGTAGTGGCGGTGGTAAAAACCGCCGATCCCTCGGCCGATAGAGAGACGCATTGTAATACTTTACAGGGAAGAAGGAGTACGAGCGACCCGACACGATCGACGCGTCTAGAAAACGTCCATCAGCGCCTAGGCTACTCGGAACTAGTTGATTCCGTCGTTAACACGGTTACTTTTTGCCCAAGCCATCGGAAGTGATCCAGTTCAGTCGAATATATTTGTTCACCTCTCTACCCGAATCGCGAAAACTCCGAGCAACGTCACCAGACGACGAACGTACTTCTCTAACCGCGTCCGTAGATGAACGTGAGCTACCGGTAAAATAAAGTCTGCCGTGTGCCGTTTATCTCTTGCGTTTTTAGTTCTCCATGCGTCACACGGCTGTTATTTATCGCATCCACCTTTCGTTTATCGAGAAGAACGTCTATCTCTCTCTTTCTTTCGAAACGACCAGCGACTCTCACGATCGTTGTCTTTGAGCGTATTATCGACGGCCGCATAAAAACGTCTATTGAACGTCCTGATTTCCATCGTCGGCGGAGAATCCGCATCGTGTTCGTCGTGGGACGCGTTTTTCGATTTCTCGAGCACAAAATGAATCATAGGACCGAGACCGGGGGGGGGGGGGGGGAGAAAAATAGAGGAAAACGCGTGTTCGCGTTCGCCGATCTGACCCTGAACGTAACAGGATGCCGATGTCGCGCGCGCTCCGCGACTTTCACTGCATTCGAAAACGCATACTAAACGTCCTCGAGATGAATTTACGAGTAAAACGCCTCATACATCCCCACATGCTCGGCTCTATCAGCTATCGGGTAAACGTTCGTTTTTCTTTCCGTTCGGAGGCACGAAACTTTTCCGGCACGATTAATCGCGATACAAACGATCCTCCTTTCGCGATCTTGTCGCTAGGGAAAATGGATCTCAACAAATGCAAGTATGTATCCACATCTCGAGCTTCCGAACGACGCTCGACTCAACACGGAACCGACTCATCCATCTTCTTTACCTCGTCCCGATCCTTGCCAAGTAACCAACGATCGGTGGAATATGACTAACGTGCGTCCGTACGTAATCCAGCCGCGATCATTTCGCGCCAATTTCTCGCGGGGAATCGGATCTACGGTGCGTCCCGTAATGCGCATCATTCGGTGGGTCGCGACAGGAAACAGGAAACCGTTGGGTAACAATCGGAGTATC